CCACTTCTTCCAGAGTGAATGAGAGATAAGGGGTGATGCCTCATTCCAGGCATTTGCTTCAATGTAGTCAAGGGTCTGCAGAGACATGGGGTACACATGGTTTGAGAGAAACAAGGAGAAGTAGAGGTGACCTCTAACTCGTAGTATTGCTTCTTGTGGCTTCTGGGATAGAAAGCAACCACTTTTTGCTAAGCCAACACAGAAAACTGTGTTTCCATGGGACAGCCAGAAAAGGAATTAAAGGTAGCATGATTAAATAGTTTCTGAGGAAGAAAGTAGGGGCACTGAGACAGACCAGGTTTTCCTCCAGGTACAGCAGAAGACCCTTGTGTCATAGGGATGAGGGATTAGTCTATGTCAGCATTGCTTGTATAAAGTGAGATTAAACATTTAAAAAGGGGGGAGGGACTGCCTTCTCTGACATCTTTCCCATTATTCATTTTTTTCTGAGCATAGTTTATTTCTACTCTTAAAGGCTGAAGAATACACTGTCTGTTAAGGTTTCTGTGTATAGTCTGTCCCTTACATAGGCAAAAGCTCCAGGATAGGCCACTTGCTAGGCCTCACTTACTACTGCACTGAAAGTCTCCTGGGAGTTTGTGCGTCAACAGATGAAACTGATTATTCCACAGATTGTTCATTACAGAGAGACAGGTTAAAACGATGGATTCATTTCACCTAAGTGATTCTACCTATTTTAGTTTTTTATAGGTTCATGATTTAACTAAATATCACCAAATAAACTGGAATATGTATGTAAATATATCAAAAAAACTTTCAGCTAATATGCCTGTATGACACATTATTATTTTGACAACCAAACATTATTGAGCATCTTTAAATGTCAGAGGAAATTTAAGCATCTTTTATTTATTAACATGTCACAACTATTATTTAATCAACAAAGTACTTCATGGGGTGCGCATAAATTAAGCAGCAGTTCAAAATTTTTACAGATTGTCCAGACTTTCAAGTCCTGATGCTCTTATCTCAGAACTCATCTTCTAAAGTAGTCTTTCCTCACAAACTTCAACTGTTTTATCACATAAGGACTTCATTCAGCAATATCTTGTTTTTTCATGAAGGACAATGGATGGCTATTTCACATAAGTGTCTGCATTGTGGACCAGTAGGTGTTGTCTATGGTCCTACTTCTAAAACTGATCCTTCCTTGAGTATAAACTTTCTAAAGTCAGACAACTGAGTTCAGATCTGTGTAAAAGCAGACCATGAATTTTCCCTCCAATAAACCTCTCTATTTTTCAAACATGAAAGCTAACATTGAAACTTCTTCATAAGGTTATGACAGTAATTAAAATAAGCAAATGAAAAAAAAAAGAAAAAAATAATAATAAAATAAGCAAATGAAGGCAGACTGTTAAGCAAACTGCAGTCACAAAGTAATCCATGAATAAAAAGGTATGTTATGTTTAATTTTACTGATGTGATTATAGTTATTTTGTGATGTTGTACCTTAAAGGGATCCTGGAAATAAATTACTTTATGAAATTATCTTTTGATCAAAGTTGGGCTGTGTTTAGCAAAACAAGCAAGGTTTAAATCCAATTAAAGGGCTGAATTGTATTAAAGACTCTTAAACATGGTATTCAGGTTTAAGTTAAATTCAGCAACTAGCCTTTCTTCTAAATCTCTGGGTGCCACTTCCTGAAGACCCCAGGAACCTGCAGAATTGGCTTTGTGCCATTCTCCTTGATATTGTCATCTTTAGACCATACTTCTTTTGAATTCATGTGAGATAAACAATTTGTACAAAAGTGTTATTCAAAAAAAGAAAAAGTTGTGAAAGTTGGGATTCAGGGTCAACAAAAATGCAACTTTAAAAAATAACAAAGAATTTCTAAAGAAATTATTCTAAATGATTGTATTACAGTTATCTTTATATTTAATTGTTTTAGTTTTGGAAAGTGCATGCTTGCTGCTGCTGCTGCTGCTAAGTCACTTCAGTCGTGTCCGACTCTGTGCGACCCCATCCCTGGGATTCTCCAGGCAAGAACACTGGAGTGGGTTGAAATTTCCTTCTCCAATGCATAAAAGTGAAAAGTGAAAGTGAAGCGCATGCTTACATATTTGCAAATATATAGATGTATTAACAAATATATATTGATACCTATAACTGTTTTCTTTGTAAAACCAAAGGCCTCTTTACATTTGTCAAATTTCTTGGCTGAAAATTATTATAAGTATGTATTCACTTAGCAGGAGACCAAAAAGGAATAAATTAACAACATAAGATTCCTATTTTAAGCCAAGACAAGAAAAATTTGGACATAAAATTTTTCTGTGCCCTTTTGAATCTCCTCCCAACCCTCCAGCATTATGTATTAATCAAACCTCCTCAAAGGCAGAAATACCTGCTCAAACATAAAGATCAGTTTTTCTTCTTCTGATGCCAGCAATGTAATTTTTAGATGATAACATTTCTTTCCCAGTCTGTAATGTGTATGATGACCTATCATCCATCTTGTGCATGCAGATATAATATCTTTGATGAACTTTGTATAGAATGCCAAAACATTATTTCCCTTTAAGATAGTTATTGGTGCAGATAACAGTAGAACATATTTACTGGGGAAATATAAGACCACATCTAATGGAAGTTCTTAGTTTGAATACTTTCTGATAACCTTATAAATGTTACTAGCTTTGTCACTTATATTCTGCCTAAATTATAAAATAATTGTTTCTTGCATTACCAAATGTGTGACTGTGCCTCTGATAAAATAATGATGACTAGGTAACTTGAAACAATTGGGCAAATATATAGCTGTATAAGATCAATGATCATAGTATTATAACTCTAAATATAGGAATAAACAACAGTGTGAACCATTTTCTGGACATAATAACACAAGAGGAAGCTAAACAGTCCAGCAGATTTTGCCTACTGTTAAAAAGGTCTAATGCAATAATAGCACATTGAGTGGCCTAGCAACAAAATCTTGACTGACATAAGAATGAGCATTCCTAGCAATGTGAGACAAACTGGTTATAAAATGCCTCCCCATATTCTGTAAAAAGTAATACTGAGAGGGAAGGGATTATAAAAAAGAGACTCTTTCTCACCATCCAGTTTTATGAGAATCAAGTCATTAACCACTGAGGTTGCTGACCTAAAATACAATCTGAACTCTGTTCAGGGTGAAGATCAGGATATGGAACTTTGTGCTCTGGGAAAACTGTCAGAGTTGGCCTTCATATAGTTACAATTCTTTTTCCAAGAAAACATTTTATGAACTCAATTTCTTGCATTTTTTGATAATTAGAAAAGCACTAAAACCCTTATTGAAAATGTCTGTCCCTTGCAAATAGCAGTAACTATCTCCCAAGATATGTGTTTGATTGCATATATCCCTTCATAAAGATCACATATATATTGACCTTCTCCCTTACCTGATCTGAACGGTTCTCAGAGCTCTCTGAGAGTCTGTCCCATAGGTTATAATCCTTAGGTTAACTAAGATAAAAATTTTCAATTCTTTCATAGATTAACTAATGATTATTATTTTTGTACACAATACCTTGAACAGCAAAACATATATATTATAATCTATTTTTTTATATTCCTTCTTTGGGTAAAGAGTACTATACACTAGCAAAAATTTGTATTTCCAATAATATGATTCCACCAAAGTAATTGAAATATTTTGTTATAGTACATAATTAAAATAAAGAAGCCTAGAGTCTCAGTCCAATGGAGAAGCTGGAAGATATTCAGCATATATGTACCCAGATCAATGAAAATAGTTAATCTTCAAAAATTCAAAGGAAACACAGATATGAGAAAACTTTTAATAAGTACGCCAATATAATTTTATTTAAAAAATCAAATATTCTTATGAACATAATGTGTTGTCTATCAGTAAACAACTAGACTGTTTTTGCTTTAGAAGCAGCTATCTTTGTTTTTATTTTCAACATCTGAATGAATCATTCACAAAGAAAGAGATACAAATAGGCAATAAGCTAATATAAAAGTATGCAGCATTGTTTCACATAAGGGAAATTAAAATCAAATTCAAATGAATAATAACATTAATTACAGTAAACACAAAAGGTTAGTAACACACGCAATTGCCACCAATTTGGAGCAACTGTTATTCATGTGCTTTGCTAGTGGGAGTTTAAAGACAAACATCCACTTTGAAAACAGATTACTAAAAAGTAATTCATGCATCTACCAAAAAAGTAATATATATATATATATATGATAACATACGAAAAAAAAAGAAAAGATTAAGAGCAACTTGAACAGTAACATTCCAGAGTAAAAATAGCCCAGATGACTATTATTAGAGTAGTGAATAAATAAATGGTGATATAAGGAACCACTACTTAGCAATGGAAAAAAAAAAACTATTGATAGATATAAAATGGCATAGGAATCTTTAAAAACATACTAAGTTGAGAGAAAGATATAAGATAAAAGAAAAACATCTACTGTGTTTTCACTTTTATGGGATACTAGATTAGGTTAAACTAACAGAGATACAAAGCAGACCAGTGTTTGTCTTTGGGTTGAGGAGTTTCATTGGAAAAGGGCATAAGGGGCATTTTTGATCTTGTGAAAATTTTGTCTCTTGCTACTGGGTGTAAGCTACCAGCACATGTGCTTCTGAAACTTATTGAAAGACACCCTTCAGATATGAATATTCTAACTGTTTATAAATTATACCTCAATTCAAAAACAACAACAAATGTCAATATTGTTTGACTACTTTGCCCATTGTTTGAAAAAGCATTTATCATGAAATGTGGTGTGGAAACATTTCAGAAGAATTTTTGATTAGCAGATTTTTACAAATCCTGTCTGATTTGTTGATGACAGCCTAATGAATGATACCAAAATATGGACATCTGTACACATTCCAAAGTAAAATAGAAATAACACACAGAGATATAATGACTATATAATCTTTCTCAAAGAAATTTTACACAATCACTTTTTATAGCCGTGAACTCTGGGGCAAATCAATATAATCCTAATCATGACTTAAGGCAGCACACTGATCCATACACTTTCTCAGAGCTCCCTTGACCTCACTGTTCCTCAGACTATAGATGAGGGGGTTTAGCACAGGGGTGAAGATAGTATAAAATGCTGACACAATCTTATCATGGTTAGCTGACCTAAAGGATTTGGGTCTCATGTAGGTAAAAATGGCTGCTCCAAAAAACAGTCCCACCACGGAAATATGTGAGGAGCAAGTGGCAAAAGCCTTCTTGCGGGCTTCGTTAGAACACATCTGGAGAACAGCGGCAAGGATGAGACTATAGGAAATCAAGATGAGGGAAATGGGGACCAGGAGCATTAACACGCAGCACACATACATAGCATACTCAAAGACAGAAGTGTCAGCACAAGCCAAACGCACCAGAGAGGGGGCCTCACAAAAGAAATGATCGATCTCATGTGTCCTGCAAAATGAGAAGTTCAGGGTAGCGGCAGCCTGCATGAGCCCATCAGCTGCGCCAAGGAACGACGATCCCAAAGTCATTCTTAAGCATAATTGCCAGCTCATGAGGACTGCGTACCTCAGTGGATGGCAAATAGCGACATAGCGGTCATAGGACATGGCTGCTAAGAGGAAGCACTCACCCCCTTCCAAAGTGAGGAAGAAGAAGATCTGAAACCCACAGCCAACTGGGGAGATGAACGTCCTGCCGGTCAAATAGTCAGCAGCCATTTTAGGCACAATGGTGATAACCAGTATCATGTCCATGAGGGAGAGTTGGCTCAGTAGGAAGTACATGGGCCTGTGGAGCCCAGAGTCCAGGAGAATCAGGAGAAACATGAGGGCATTGCCCACAAGAGAGGTGAAGGCAGTTATCAGAACCAACGCAAAGAGAAATTGGTGGGCTCCTGTGTGATTAAAGAGTCCAAGGAGAATGAAATCTGAAGTGGTATTCCAGTTTTCCATGATTTCAAACAAGACTGACACAGCAAACAGAAAAATAGATGAGGATTATATATACATACCATAACAATATTTATTGAAGCAGAAGCAAAAAATAATTTTTCTTGACCTTGATTAATCTGGGAAAGAGCTTTTGCTTTCCAAATAATGGGACTTCTATTTTTATGCACAGGAACTGGAAGAATTGTCTGTAGATGGAAACATAATTACTTTGGTATTGTTAGGGTGTTTAGTTTAACTTTACCAAGCTATACATTGAAAACAATAATGATTTTCTTAGAATATTTCCTCCAATGTAACACTGTAATACTAAATGCAAATTTTTATTAATTGTAAAAGGCATTTTGTGTAGGGAGAAGTTTTCCTTGTAAAGTCACAGAAACACAACCTTTATTGAGTAAAGAAGAAAAAATAGAACGCCTTACTTCTTCAACCAGCCATGAAGATAAATCAGTCTCTCCTTCAATTCCAAGAGGATCTAGATCTTTGAAGGCATTTTCATATCTGATCTGCTGGAGTCAAAACTATTCAAACTTGTTGAACAAATATAACTAAACCTGCAAAGTAGATGATGTTAGTCTCACAGATATAATGTGATTCAATGAAGTTACAGGGAAGGAGTCCATCTCTTCCATGATCACTACCTTTACCCCTTCTTTTGATATCCATCCTATACTAGACTGCCAATCAAGATGGAGAAAGGCATTAAAAAGCCTCACTCAATCCCTAATTACATAGCTTGAGCATCATCATTGTACTAACAGTATTTCACTCAAGGATTTTCATTGTTGTAAACCTAGATATCATGGAAATATAGTTGCCCTTTATCTAATTAGTTTCAGAAGTTTCAGATTTAAAAAAAAAAAACCCTTTATGATCTACACACACTCATATCTCTAGTATGCAGTATATACCATTAGTAACTATATGTGACTCCTAATTATAGCCCTCAGTATCACTCTTCTGAAGAACCTCAATCCCTCTTATTTCTTTGACTTGAAGATTTCTTGTTTTCCATTATTTTCATCATTTTTATTGTTGAAGATTGCTAGAACTTTAAACTTGTTTAAAAATCAATAGGTAATTTTTTAACTGTAGAAGGTTTGGCAAATTTCTTAAATTTAATATATTGTCAAATCAGTGACATTTTCATACTGTTGTGAATCCATCACCAATATTCATGTCTTGCTCTTCATCTTATTTAACTGAAACTATTACCCATTAAACAGTAATTTCCTATTACCTCCCCTTCTCTTCAGTCCCTGGAAATCACTCTTCTCCTTTTTATCTCTATAAATTTGACTACTATAGAAATATTAGATAAGCAAAATCATATAGTATTTATTTAGTTTTTGATTAGTTTATTCAACTTATTATAACATCCTCAAAGTTTATCCATGCTATAATGTGTCAGAATTTCCTTTCATTTTAAAGATGAAAAATATTTCTTTGTATGCATATATTCATACTACATTTTACTTTATAATTTATGCCATCCCTGGACATTTCTGAGTGTCTATTCCAGTTGTGTATTTAAGCATCAATTTAATGGGATTTTTGTTTAAACAAGGTTATTATTTTAAATTCCATATAATAAACATTTATAGCATAAAATATGATTTGAACCAATTATTTTGCTTCTATTATGTAAGAAAGGTTTATATGTTTTAGGATAACTACAAATTAAGTAAATTTTCAGTTTACAAAATATGTTTTCCTATGATAATGTTTCTAATTGTAAGTATTTTATCAAATCATTAGTTCTTAACTTTTCTATGGACATAAATCATATATCTATGCATTTCTTTATAGATGAAATAAATATGTAAAAGCAATCAGTCATTATGAACATAATTGACTAGTCAATATGTTAACAGTGTTTAGATTATTTAATGTTAAGATCAACTAACCTTGCAAAAAAGGAGCTTAAGGGATAATTTCTAACAGAATTGACCATGGATACACAGTGTGGTGAAATTTTAAATAAAGGAATTAAACTATCTGTCAAATAAAACATTTATAGTATCATTAAGTGAAAGTATAAAGGCTCACCTTTATTGTAGGAATAGGATTGCTTAATACTATAAAAACAAATATTTTCTTCTTCTTTTATCACTCTCACTTCGGAACACTAGAAATATTCTGTCTTCTGTCTCCATAGTCTTTCATATAGAACAGTACTAAAATTGTGGTATTTTACTTTAAATTACTAAGTTATCTCTTTTGCAATACTACCAGAAATAACAAATATAACCTCTCTTTCAATCTCATCAAGTAATTATAGAATATTTAGAAAACTGCCTATAATTATTCTTTCTATATTTTCTACTTCTTGCTCTCACTTAGTATTAAAACTCTAAATCTTTTTCCACAGGGTACTGGAATGAGTAATTAATCTATTCTGCAAAATATAAAATGGTAAAATCCAAATTTTTTTTATAGAATTAACAGGTTGTTACAATGTTTTAATCTCATTATTGTGTCAGCTATCACATGCTTTAGTTCTTCAAATTGTAGAATAGATAATTGAATGGATATTATCTGCAAAACTATATAAATTGATCTAACTGGATTTTTCTGGAGTTCAAATTTAAAAGCAAAACTAATAAGTATTCAGAAACTAGTATGACTTACATAATATATAAATGAAGAACCCTAAACCTGCATTCTCTCTGAGGAGCATCCTCCTATTTACCTCTCTGAGTGGAAGAAGGCTCTTCTACTCTTGTACCATCAAGCTTGCTCATATCAGGGTCTGCAGAGACCTATTAAGAGGCTTGGCTTATTGCCATCTTATTCTAAAATTACTCACATATTAACATATCATAACTTCAGAAGTATAACTCTTTGGATGTCAAAAATGTTTAATTTTTAAAGGTTATAGTGGTTCTCAGAACTTCAATATACTTCCCTACATGCTTTCAAAATGCTATGATTCATTAAGAGATAACTATTTACAAGAAAAAAATAAAATGCAAATAAATGTTCTTGTGAAAAGATGCTTATTTAAATATACACACTGAGGAGTGGATTAATTTGATTCTAACATTGCTTATTTATTTTTAATATGAATTTATTTACTTTAATTGAAGGCTAATTAATTTACAATATTGTGGTTTTTGCAATACATTGACATGAATCTGCCATGGGTGTACATGTGTTCAACATCCTGAACCCCCTTCCCACCTCCCTCCCCATCCCATCTCTCTGGGTCATCCCAGTGCACCAGCCCCAAGCACCCTGTCTCATGCATTGAACCTGGACTGGTGATTCATTTCACATATCATAATATACATGTTTCAGTGCCATTCTCCCAAATCATCCCACCCTTGCCCTCTCCCACAGAGGCCAAAAAGTCTATTCTTTACATCTGTGTCTCTTTTGCTGTCTCGCATATAGGGCTATCATTACCATCTTTCTAAATTCCATATATATGTGTTAGTATACTGTATTGATGTTTTTCTTTCTGACTTACTTCACTCTGTATAATAGGCTCCAGTTTCATCCACCTCATTAGAACTGATTCAAATGTATTCTTTCTAATGGCTGAGTAATATCCCATTGTGTATATATAACACAGCTTTCTCATCCATTCATCTGCTGATGGACAGCTAGGTTGCTTCCATGTCCTGGCTAAACAGTGCTGTGATGAACATTGGGGTACACGTGTTCCTTTCAATTCTGGATTCCTCAGTGTGTATGCCCAGCAGTGGGATTGCTGGATCATATGGCAGTTCTATTTCCATTTTTTAAAGGAATCTCCACACTGTTCTCCACAGTGGCTGTACTAGTTTGCATTCCCACCAACAGTGTAGGAGGGTTCCCTTTTCTCCACACCCTCTCCAGCATTTATTACTTGTAGACTTTTGGATAGCAGCCATCCTGACTGGCGTGTAATGGTACCTCATTGTGGTTTTGATTTGCATTTCTCTGATAATAAGTGATGTTGAGCATCTTTTCATGTGTTTGTTAGCCATCTGTATGTCTTCTTTGGAGAAATGTCTGTTTAGTTCTTTGGCCCATTTTTGATTGGGTCATTTATTTTTCTGGAATTGAGCTGCAGGAGTTGCTTGTATATTTTTGAAATGAATTCTTTGTCAGTTGCTTCATTTACTATTATTTTCTCCCATTCTGAAGGCTGTTTTTTCACCTTGCTTATAGTTCCCTGTGTTGTGCAAAAGCTTTCCCAAAAC